ATTCTTTCTGACTTTTTCCATATCTAAGGCCAGTTACTGGTGGGGAGGAGGTTCCTCTGGTCACCCATCCCAAATGTGTTACTACCTGTGAATTTAGCAACAGTTGCCTAACAAAGTTCTTATTTTGCTTCTTTGTTTTCCAGTTCATGCCAGATTAGTCAGAGCTGAGCAGATGTAGTCAAGGTGTCTTTTGACTGGGCAGTCTTTGGCTTTCAGGTAGGCTTCACCCCTTGACAGACATGTTAGCAGGGAAGATTGTACTGTGACTGTCCATTAGCATATATTTTGAATATGATGGGAAAATAATTTCCTACTGCAGTCTTCAAGTGAGTGGAGAGACTGGTATTCTGGTTTTGAGATGTATTGCTATGTGGTTTTTTTATCTGAAATAAATGCCAATTGTTTTATTCTTCAAGGATATTATCATAAATAAGAAAAGTAGCATAAGCCATAATTAAAATGAGAAGCGAGATGAAATCCACACAGGTGGATTATTTTTTTTTCCTTCAGTATAAGAGGGAAGACCTCTAGCAGCCACTAAACACAGCCTCCTGTGTCCAGAGAGGCAACCTGAACAAGTAAAAAGCTGCTGTGGCATTGGTCTGTATATGGTAGTGACTGCTCCCTAAAAGCTTGGGGCTATTCTGTGAAGGAATTGATGCTCTGAAGACCACATTAAAACCAGCTTCAGGAGTTAAGCAGAAGTGGTGGTGGGTACCCCAGGAGCAGATCTGTTGCCCACATGCTGCAGGCAGGTAGTGTCCCTGTATCAGCAGGGCCCACGCAGGGTGAAGATGCTGCCCGTGTGCCTTAATCCCGATTTGCTGGGAGCGCGGTCTTTCTGCCAGTAGTTCCCTCTTCAGGTAAGAGCTCTCAGGAAAATGATGGCTGTGGATACTTGGTGACTTCCCTGAAATATGAGACTTTTTAGTACATAGTCTTCACACAGGCAAAAAGTAGGACAGATCTAAGTAGGGCTCTGCAGATGCTAATAGGATCATCAGGGAACTATTTCTGTTTTCCCTCTTAAATGCCTATTGAGTTAAAGAAACAAAAGGGTAACTTCTGCCTTGCTCCTAAATTTGTACTCCTTGACCCTAAAGAACAAAATCAGAAGTCTGGCAAGTCTCACATTATCAGTGCAATCCAGTTGACTAATTTACAATCCCTTTCTCATAATTTGATTGGAATATTGTGTGGAACTCAGTCAAAAGCCAGATGGGAATCTATGTTTGCCATGCCAATGCAATTACTATTATCAATTATATTTGTGGGATCGTAAAAATACCATGTTTGTCTGAAGAGATACATTTCCCATAAAATTATGCTGGCAGGAATTCATTAAAATGCCATCATTTATAGCTTTACTGCCTTTGTCCCATTGTAGCTTTTCAATGATGTTGCCAGGAATCTTTATTAGGGTATCTAGCCCACATGCCTGGGTCATTCCTATGACTCCTTTGAAATAATAGCTCCAAGCTTTACTTTCTCCTCTATCTTCTGGAATCTTCTATCACTTAAAATGCCAGATAGGCTTGAATGTAAGTAAGTGGATTCCGAGTTTTTACATATAACAGATCTTGTTTATTCTTTAATAAAGAATATGTGAATTTAAGTGTTCATAAAAGGTCCAAGCTTGTCAATCATTCCATTCAGCAATGGAATTGAGGAGGTTTTTTGGAGGTCTTTTGGAGGTTTTTCTGTGTACACATCTCAATCCGATGTAAGAAAATACAGTATTTTTCCCTTTAATAAGCTACGGCATAGCCTAGCTGAACATGCATATTTTTTACAGCCTATAGTAAATTGTTTTTCTTGCTACATTCTTGTCTTTCTGCCCTTTGCAATGTGAGTAATACTGGCATAGTTCACCCAACTTTCAAATTTAGTAGTCTGCATTTAGAGATGATGTTTGAGAGAAGGAAAATGTAAATAACAGAGCTGACTATGTGGGCTTAAACCTACTTAAGTCACAGAACACTTCAGTCAGTTTAATAGAGTTTATAAAACAGATAGGAAAGGCAAAACCTACTGAACATGTTCAACAAAATGCAGGTTTAAATTTCTCACTGAATCATTATTTTATTGGCAAAAAGGTTTTTGTCCCAAATAAAGATTTTCTAAGTATGTCTTCACTCAATTTTCAAACATTTAAAATCAGAGGGGTTAGCCATCAATGATACAAATGCAAGCCTTTGGGTTTTTTTCCTGTTTTTTCTTTAAAGTATGCTGAAATTTTGAAGAAAACTGATAAAAGATGCGTGTGGAAAAAATGAGTAATTTTTGACTGAGTCCAATTTAAACTTGGGCTTAATCTGTATTTAAAGCCACTGTGAATATACTTCAGATCTTCTTTCACTGCTATACAAATCTTCCCCGGTGGCCTACCACTGTAACTTAACCATATTGAGGAGCTACCCATTTTGAATGGAAAAAATTACAGATTATGCTATGTACTGGTATTACTTTACCTACCTGGTCTATGATTTTACAGTAGGCCACATGGTTCAGGTTTCTGTCTGAAATGACTGGGAAACTAAGCTAATACGAGCTCAAGTGGGATTCTTCTGCTGCAGATGGTTTCCCATCTATTCGTAACTGCACTGAGACAAACTTATTTTGCCCTAGACTATGATTAACATGTTAGGTGTTATCTCAGGAGTTTCATTTTCATTTCCTTTGCTGTAATTACTGCATAGAATCAATTGTAATGTGAAGTTCAGTCCATGGGAAACTCAGGAGGCAGATACTAGATTTCTAATTTGCGACAGGAGAGACAAGCCCTTGACGGTTTATGTAGAGTGGTTTTGTTTTTTTTTTTTTTACAGCAGAAATATTGTCATAGGGTAAATAGTTAAATACATAGGTTAGAAGGTTGAGTATCTCTATGAAGAATAAGCTGTTTCTGCTGTGTTTGGCTCTCACAATAATTGATAATGTGTATCCCCAGTTTTCAGAGATACTTTGGAAAGTGAATTGGGACAGAGATTATAATTTTTTCTCATCTTACTTTAAAATCATATATAATTTCTGTCCTTGTAGGTTCAGTTCCTTTTTACGTATTTTTAGTAGGCTTTTACATTTTTCAGGTTTATTACTTATTATCTTAGTGATACAATAGTAAGAGGCAAAAGCTGTGTATGAGGGGAAGGGATGGAAAAGAAGGCAGGTTAACCTTACTGCTTTTAAAACAAACTATCTTCTTTAAAGGTATTCTAGGACACAAAACCTTACACTGATAAATAAATACAAACAAGCATTCTGTACCATCCAACACCTACTTTATTTTACCTTTTATTGACAAGAACCACCAAATGGTATTTTACTCTGAGTAATTACCTTAGATGTTTTAAAAGAAAGTCTTCAGAAAAAAAAATATTTTGCTTCTTTAAAAATACACATTACTGTCACAGGCAGTCGCCTACCCATTGCTAAAAACGCCTACGGTTTCCTAAAATAACGACAAAGGGTTTTCAGCATTGCAACTATTAAAGCACGGAGTCAAAACCAGAAAATGTCATGTGGTTTACTCACTGCGTCAGGTAGTTACTACCATTCAGCATTTCATGAAGGCAATTAAAAAAAAAAAAAAAAAAAAAACAACAAGCAGACATTGGGTTTTACCAATTTTATTTCTAGACTTTAGTTTTTTTTGCTGGAAACTTGTCTGTTACAGGTCTGTTGGTGAAAATGTGCATTTCAGACCAGTGATGCCAATAAGTACAATATAAAAATGTACAAATCTGAATTGCTTGCTTACTACAGATTGTTATAATAATGTGACAAATAAAGCATCTCTGTTGGCACATGAACCCACTTATCTGGATTTGGCCTTTTAGTACATACAATATTTTAAAGAAATTTGCAGTACACACTGCCACTCAGTGTAACATATAATATAACCAACAAGCACTAACTCAATAATCATGTTTGGTTCAGAGACACAGAGATGCCACAAACAGAAGTGTTTTATGAGGTAAGCAGTAAGAAATGTTCCTGAAATTTGGACAGAATGTATCCAGTCCTCCTGGGTCCTGCGACTGCTAGTAGCATTGCAATGCTTTATTTATGCACTATGTAGGATCTTAACTGCATTTGCCTCAAAATGAGTTCTAATTCTGTTTTGGTTTAGCAGCATACAGGCAACAGCTAGATTATTCTTCAGCATACAACTCTGTTAGCTGGCTTATTTATGAGATTTACAGGCTTTTTAAATTAGCATTATGCTATAATTAAAAAAAAAAACCAACAAAAAACTAGTATATCATAACAGATTAAACACACAAAATACTTAGAGTTCCAGAAGATAACCTATAATACCAAATGATGTGTCCCAACTGATGGGAAACCACATCAGGTGGCATACAAGAGTTATATTATAATGCACCTTTCATATATCAATGTGGCTAATAACACAGCTTAAAACTACTATGATAATAAACCCCAGATCAGACAAAGAATCCAGCTTTATAGAATGCATAACAACAAAAAAAACTGACATTACTTGATCTTCTGAAATGTCTGCTGTTTTTAAATTAATGCAACCTAGTTGCAAATCGCGAGACCCATTCAGAATAACGTTCGATGCATTTCCGTTTGCAGTAGAACTATGAGGCACTGTGTACGAACATTAAAACCTGGTCTAGACACGGTTAACTGAAGTATGAGGTATTGTGAAACAGGAACCTTTTTGGAATAGAGCAGTAATCACATTAAGTAAAAATTGATCACATAAAAAATCTACAAAAAAATGATGTCAATAATATAATTTTCTATGAGAAAATTAAAACCTATAACATGGCAGTATATGACATTGTATAACAAAAAAAAAAAACTGATCCACAAAATAGCAGCAAAACACAATGACAAAGATACAGAAAAGCAATGTTAATTTTTTTTTTCAAACCATGCTGGGAATTTATCCATAGCAGCTCAATAAAAATGGAGCATCCACTCCTTTTCTTTTCTTTTTCTTTTTTTTTTTTAATTTTTAATTTTTTTTCTTTTTTCTTTTTTTTGTTGTTTTTTTGTTGTTTTGTTTTTTTACAATCAACACCTTAGCGGCAGTTTTCTCACATACATTTCACCATCACATTCTCCTCGAGCATCAACTTCAACAGCTATGTCCACGTCCCTTCAGCTACTTTCTAAAATAATAATAAAAAGATACATAGCCAAGATGTGCAAATTTTCTATTTGTAGCTAAATAAAAAAATGGGGCATATACTGGAATAAGAACTTCTTTCAAGTACTCCAATTTTCATATCTATTAACTATGGCGTTTTTTTCATGGTTAGACTGCTTTTGAAAATGTATAGGAAGGGGCCAAATAGACTGCTTTGTTTTGGGTTTGTTCTCTGAAGCGTGTCCTTTTTTCTTTAATAAGCTGTGTTAAAACTGCAACATCAAGGGTAGAAAGATTTTTTTTTAAAAAGGGGCGATTGCATTATTTTACAAATCATACTGGCCTTACGAACATCCTCTGCAATAAATATTCTTTTTAGCCTTAACTATAAATTATATATTTTAGTGTTTAAAAACCTTCAGTTGTAAAACATCTAGCGACAATCCTTAAACTATGTGTCCTATATGTGAACCTTTAAGGCCCCTAATTTATAAAGATGAGTTGGCACCAAAGGATTCTAAACTTCAACTTTTCTATAGAAAAGGATAGGAAGATATCCTGGCAATTTGTGAATGCAATTTCTCTCACTGGAACACAACCTTCGGAAAAAAAAAATCACCTCTCCTCTAACACCATAGTTAAATGCACTTGCTTTGCAATTCCAAGTTTGCGAACAAGCACTTATATATTTCCAAACCATTCCATTAAAAAAAAATTCCCACACAATAAAAGAATGTATTTCCTATATCTAATGGACTGAAAGTGCTTTGAATGGAATGGTTTTAGAATATTACAAACAAACAAAAAAAAAAAAGACTGAACTGTGGATTGAACCTGACCATAATTAGGCTGAATATCTGTGGGGTCAGACCAGCATTTTTACACAGGTAACTACAAAAATATGAAGATTACAAAAATATAATATATTATGTCACTATTTCGGTTTCTCTTTATAATAGAGTATCGTATGAGTAGTACATTGGCCTTCCCCAACAATGCTAAGCTGGAACCCTACAAATGCCTTATGCACAGGCAATCCACAGGCACAAAAAAAGATTAACATATAATAATGCTGCATACTAACATACACTAACTTATGGGTTATGTTAACCATTTATAAGGTGAAGAGGATAAAAAAAACCTAAGGAAATAAAATAAACATTTACAGATGAATTATAAAGTGACTAAATGCATAAGCAAGCAAGATACAGAAAAGCCTAGAACTGCGTTAAAGCTATGCTTTTTAAAGAAAAAAAAAAGAATATTTCATTTACTATCTAAAAAAAAAACCCTCTTCTACTTTAAAAATGGTTGGTTGGTTTGTTTTATATGTAAGAAATCAAATCTAATACCTCCCCTGGAGACATTTTGTGTGTTAATGCCTATTTTTACAACATACAGACAAGAACACTTTAATATAAAAACTAGTTGATTATTATTGTATAAAATCCTCTATTTTTGTAGCACAAACCCCTGGGGGTAATGCAAATACTATTTTTTTCTTTTTTTAAGACAGTTTTTGGGGTATTTTTTGTTTATTTGTTTGTTTGAAGTCACAGATGGAAGGGAGACAGAGCAAGAAAAAATATAACAAGACTGGTTTTCCCTTCTGGTATAAAAATGTCCTGGAGAAAAGGGTTTCTGGGGGGGAGATCCTGATGCTGATTCCTTCTCAGATGCCCTTTCTTTGTCTGCTTTTCTCGCCAAGCAAACCCATTAGAAGAAGTCCTCTTAAATGTTCACATCTCGCACATCAGTGGGTGTGCAGGAAAGGTCTGCTTCATCCTCTACAGTCTTTGTTTCTGAAGATACGTTGTGCTGCTGTGCCTGACGTAGACTGGATTCAAGGAGGGATTCAATCTGTTCTTGGCAGGCTCGTAAACAATCCTAGAGAAGATTAAATGGAAGGAGAAAAAGACCCAGAGTCCTTTAGAAAAATAGTAAGATCACAGACCAAATACCATTTCTTGAAAAAGCAAGAGAAATACAATCAAGTTATCTGGGAGGGCAGCAGACTGAAAGGAGTGTGGGAAGACCAAGAGAAACACCGGACAGTGACGAGTTGGATGAGCTACCCCATTTTCTGCAGGATGCTAGCCTGGATCCAGACTTCAGCAACTAACTCTTGCCATCTTCTAATTAACAGCCTAGGTGAGCATCTCCATACGTGGTCCTCTGGTCAAACCACGACTGCTGTTTTGTTCTTAGTCTCAGCCCATAGGTCTACAACTGAACGTGACGGACGCTCCGCTACAGTGACACATGTAGTAACTAAGCCGGGCAGGACCTTCACACAGTAAGATGTTGTATCTTGCACTACTACTTTTCTCCCTGTGCCATTAAACACTTCAGCAGTTCTGTAGAAGTCCATTCATACTATCTTTTACCTCACTGTCCTTTACATGTTTTGAAAAAATAGGAACAGTCTGACTGGACAGCAGTGTGAATCAATCAAAATTAAATGAGTGGAGATGCAAAGACATGAAACTGGGCTGGCGGCAGAGCTGGTCGACGATTTCTACTTGTACCACAGAAACACTTTGGCAGAACAGTCTGCTAGAAATGACAGTCATAAACAGTGATTTTTTCCCAGGCTGAGTTCTGGTAATATGAAGTTCTTAGATAGAAGTGTCATAAATATATTTAGGTATACGTGCCCAAAGTTGCCTGCCAACTGCTGCTATGTCCAGCAGTGGGCAGCTCAAGTTAGCTAACTGATTTCTATACTCAGAAAGCATCTGAACAGAAAAATGTACCAGACTGCAGACCCCAAAATGGAGAGATCTGTCAGAAGCACCACTGAACAACTTCGTAACCGTGCATTACAAAGTGCTGCCAAGCTTTCAGTTTGCTACCGCATTCACCTTGAAATCACAGTCAGGGTGAGTTCTCTTTCCCTTGCTTCAAAAGCATTTTCTCAGAGCTGAATGCGCACACGATCGTCCTGAGCGTTCAGGAAGGTGCAAGGGCCTCGCCGCTTGCACAGACTATGGCATAAATTAAAAGCATAAAGCACCAAGCAGGATCACGGCTCCTGTGGGGACTTCCCCCAGGCATTAAACCATACCATGAGTAGATATATCCAATTCTACTTATCAATCTACAGCAATTAGAACTGGAGAAGGCCTGTTCAACCTGTCCAACTTTCTGCAAGTTATGGTCGTGTTCTTCAGAGCCATGTATGTCCACTGCACTGACACAGAAATGGTGCCTTAAATAGGCAAAACAATCACACGACATTTTGCCAAAATTCCTCCAGTGTGCTGTTTACTCATAGCTTTATAACAAACACCGTAAGCTTTTTCCCAACATATTTAACTCTGTGTATTAAGGACTTTGAAGTTTCCTTTCAGTATTGCCTTTTCTGATTTAACCTATGACATGTGTTAGCCCTTGCGGTGAACCCAGTCTTCCATGATAAATTGCCGTCAAAAGTGTTAGGATGTGCATGACTGAGAATGAATGTTGTTTTCCTGAGAGGGTGACCTGCCTGCTGTTTTCTTTATTTCCCAGTTTCAATTCTGCCTTCATTCAGAGGCTTCTTGTGTGATCTACCAGCTTTTCACTGATTCCACTACCACAAGAATCTCCTCTGCCACCAATAAGGGCACATGGCGTTTGGGGTAAAATAAGATTAGAAACCCAAGCAAACAATTCTCTGCAAGTCCTTTCTGAGAGAGAGGGAGGTTAATCCTACCTCTAAGCAGATCAGACCATCAGTTACAGCTCACTGAAAACACATAACCTATGACCTTTTCTGGTTTAAACCCTAGTGTAATATTTCCTCTTGACAGAGACACACAGCGTTTTAAATGACAAAAAGAAACGCCTCATATCCTAAAGTCATCATGCCTTTGGCTCCTACATACCTCTGGCCTTCACAATAAGATCTCTATGAAGTCCTTTCACCCCTTCTCAAGATATGACGGATCAAGCCTGACTGTCAGGCTTCTACTGGCATGTCCTGTACCATGCACCTCAGTCACACTTGGAATTAGATGTATTAAAGAGTAGTACATGGATACAGGTTTAGGGATTTTTGGTTTTACAAATCCAGGCACTTTTGAGGATAATTCTGTTTTAACAAGGTAGCATGTTCAGTGTTCCAAACGGAAAGCCAATTTATTTTCAGAGCAAAATGAACATTGCTGGCTTTTTTCTTTTTTTTGGGGGGGTGGTGGGTGGGATATGTTTTGGTGGGGTTTTTGTGCCCTTTTTTTTTTTTAATCCTAACCATTTGCATATAGCGTGTTTGAGCTCTGAAAACTAAAACCATTCAAAAGAATTTCTACAAATACCTTTTCTTCTCCCTCTGGAGTCCAGTCATGAATAATTACATAGGACTATGTAATTTAAAGGTAATTTTTGACCACAGAATTTTTTTCCTGTGAGATTCTGAGAGTACAGCATGTTGTAACTGTATTTTTTAAAAACATAATCTTTACCATTTATCATGAACAGACTATGTCTTAAGCTGCAGCTGAATATGTTTTAGGCATTTTTGTTCATTTCTTATTCAGATGACTATTAGATTAATAGTTTGTCTGCAGGAATGTATTAGAGCTAGAAAAATAACTGCAAAATATAAAATTCACTGTGAACAACCTCACCAAAGCTTTTTTCATTCTCAGTACTTCTGAACACTGAAACGTACAAATACAAAACTTGTGCATTACTCTGATAACTTCTCCCAACAACTTTTCTGCTTCACTACCCAAATTTTCAATGCCCACAGTTTGTTCAAGGTCACAAACCCTTCCTGGATTAATTAAGCTCCTCAGTGAAAAAAAAAAAATAAAAATAAAGACTTGCTAGCTTAACTGATGTGGTCAAATACCTTTAACACACACAGTAGACATGATCAGACTCCAGGGTCAGATACTAAAGGAAACAAACAACAACAAAAAAGAAACTGCTTGGAAATCCTTTGTTACAGCCTGACCCGTTCTGGATAACAAGCACATGTTTCAAGGTGCCTCTGAGTAGAGGCAGGCGGGAGACGAATTCCAATGTACTAACAGACAGCATGGAAACCCAATCTAATCTAGTTTAGCAAATTTCTGGCCTGGAAATGAATGTCAGGTAAAATTCAATCTGTTTGGGTGATGGGGTCAAGAATAGAATGATGGAAGACAGCCCAAGACTTCTAATTGTGATTATCTGACTTCTAATTACCCCTGATCAAAGGCAAAATGGGAAATTGGACTCCTACCAACGTAAACATGAACCATAAAGGAATTCCGATCAGGTGATACTCATTTTACTTTAGATTCAGCTTTCTTTGAGACTAAAGGTAAAAAAGTGTAATTATATAACCTGAAATCCAACAGACCAGCTGCTCTAGCTAATAGATAATCAGGGAGAATGTTAGCCATGTTATAATGCATGCTCTTAATATTTCAAGACAATCCAATATAAAGCGTATTCATTTGTGCGGTCTGACAAGGGGAACCATCGCTGTGGAGTAACAAACTTCATATACTTGCTAGTGAAATAAGATAATAGGAATAGCATTCGATACTATGGATTACATAGGCATATCTTACGGGAAGTTCCCTATGCAGGGGAATCATGCTATGCGTGAAACCAAGCAGTCTTCTCTACTCAAAGCAATAGTAGTGAAAGAGGCTGTTTCCTTATTCAATTACAAACACAACAGTGCGTGTATGTATATATATATACACACACACACACATATAAATTTATGATGCTTATTTTCTGTAGCAACCTATACCAAAACCTTACTTGTAACTCTTGCTGCTCTAACACATAAATATATTTAGCAATGAAAGCCGGAGGGAAGTTCCTTCCTTTTAAAGCTGTTAACTTTTGAGTGCAGGTCATACAAATTGTGGCCTTGCAATGACTCTGGACAATAAAAAAGAAATAAGCAAGAACTGTCCTTCTTGCTAGAACTGCTTTCTTTTCTTTTAAAAGAGCTCTGTCATCAACTAAGTCAAGTCACGTAAGGACATGCTGTTGTTCTCCAAGATGTGAGAGAATCTACTTCCAATGCTCTGTATCAGGAATGATTAAATAATGTTGTTTGAATCAGATACTGTCAGAATAGATAGCGAGCCTAGTATTTTTCCTCAGTACCTGCTTCAAAGATCTCACACTGGATAGTGGCCAACCATACACTGAAATATCTACATTGTTCACAAACTGGCTAAAAGCATTACACGTACATACCAAACTGAGCAGCATTTTATTTCAGCATTTGAAGTTCGTATAGTATTTAACATTTCAGCACTGGATCCGTATTACTTTAGCTGCAGTGATATAAATGGCAAAAATAACACGCTCAATACTGAGGCATTGTTAAGGTGATCAAAATAGTAAGTGGGGGTATCATATTTGTCAGCAATTGTTTCACATAGTCTATCAAAAGTAAAATACTCTTTTTGTGAATAATTAATTATGATGCACTCATCTTTCCAGAAATCACTCACTCCTGTCAACAAAGCCCAATTATAGAAACCTAGTTTTGCAGCATCTGGACTAGTACAGTTCTCTATGTATTTAAATTATTAACATGTAAAATAATTTAACAGCATCTCAAAGATTCTGCCGCTAACCACAGAGTTGTCTTTATTTGACTCATTGTCCAGCGCTTGGAGACCTCACAAGAACCTTTTTAAAGCATCTATTTATTGGTCTTCCACATTGTTACAAAACAAAGCTCAACTCTGCCCCAACTTCACACACCATTATGACATGGATCATTGACTTTAGGTCTTCCTTGTAGGCTCCCTTCCTGGCCCATTCACTCATGAAAGGTTTATTGCTCACTAGTTACTGATGTGCATCTCCTGGAAGCTGCAGGGCAAAATGAGAGTCCTGTGAGGACCATCTACCTTGTCAGAAAGTCGTGGGACAAGCATTTGTTCCGAAAAGGAATTCAATACCAGCTACTGTGCAGGTCTAGCACGTAATAAACCAAATTAGATCATTAGAACTCTTTTAAGAAGGGCTTTTTCACACCACTTGGCACAATAAAAGGCCTCAAGAATGGTCAAAGATAAGGTCAGAGATACCACGAGGTCTCAGTAACTATTTCCTCGTCTTATTTTCAAAGTTTTGTTTTACACAGACTCCTGGTTTAATTACCTACAACGAAACACAGCCTCTGCAATGTCCTAAATCGATGCAGGGTTTCCTTTGCTTTGTCAGATATGCCTCTCTTAACAAACATTAGAGCTGGATGTGGCATTCCTATCGGTGAACTGCAGCAGCGTAATCACAGATTATTAACGGATATAATGACAGCTAAATAACTAGGATGGACACAAGAGAACACGTTCAAAAACTCCACTCTGAGGTTTTGACTTTTATCAAGATTTACTGTCAGATTAGCTACTATGCAGTAAGCAGGCATTCATTCTTAAAACTCTAAGGCAGGAGATCAACCGAGAGAAAGAGTCACTTACCGGATCACATTTGATAACTTGTGATAGGAAATGTGTGAGGCATTGATAGGAGAGGAAAGTGTTAGTGTTCCCCAGATGCAGGCCTTGCACAGCTGCTACCACACTGCCAGCTGCGATCATGGAAGGTGGGTTTGAAATAAATTTAATATCTGTATGAAGAAAGAAGAGAGAGAAAAAAAAAAAAAAAAAAAAAACTGAAATGATTGCTTTAGGAGAAGCCTGCCCATACACATACACTCTTCTACCAGCATGGCTTCAGCTGCCAACCATTGCATCCGAAAAGGTAGGGAAAATTGTGAGCAGAAAGGTGCCTCCTGCTCTAAACTGCTACAGGTCCAAACCTGTAAACACTTATCCACATGAGCAACTGTACTTCAGAGAGTAGCCCTTCCTAGCACTAAGCCTGGGAGGCCATTCATCACTTCGAGGTATTTTTATCATAAGCAGGGCCCCCACGCTTCAAACGTTAAAATACTTTGCTCATGTGAATAATGCCACTGGGGTCAATGGCACTATACATCTGAGAAAACCTGTTCGCATTCTTAAGTGTTTCGCATGATCAGATCCTAGGTGCACTCTAACAAGGAGTCCTCGGGCCCCTTAAAGCAGAAACCTTTGCACTGACATTCAAAGGAATATAGCTTTAATGAACAACAACATCAACAAAAAGAAAGAAAGAGAAAGACTGCTTAACCCTGTCAGGAGGCAGATAATCCATATTTAAATTAAGGTTTCATCTTAAAAATGCTTTGTCTCAACCTAGTCTCTTGTCAGTGGCTGCCATCCATCCTGGCAACAGGGATTTAATGTAAATGTGGCATAACTAAGTGACGGGGGTCCCAAGAATTGGCGGACAATCAGTTACATTCTGATGTGACACCATGCTGACAAGAGGCTGGGCCCCCTTCCAGACTGCATTGCTGTAGGTCTCTCCACAAAGCCACTCCCATGATTCCTTAAGGGGCTATCTCTGCCATTTAGCATGTTTTTGGTTTGGTTTTTGTTTTGTTGGGTTTTTTAATAAGAATAATCCACATTTTAATGCTAAGACTCTTTCTGCTGAACAGGAATGCGTTTGATCTGTGGCAGCATACACCTTGGAGGAAAACTGGAAACAAAGGAAGTAAGTGGCACAAGTAAATGTCCAATTTTGTGAGGAAGAAAGGGAAATGCCACATAATACACAAGAACCTGAGATACATTCCTTCAGCTTTTATCAGAATACAACTTCCTCTGGGTTGAAAAAATATAAACCATCTGTCAAACCCTTGAATGAAATCAAAGGAATGGACAGCTTAGAGGGCTCAGTGGAACAGTTTAAGTATTAAATCATGCATCTCCTTTATTATGATAAAATAACTTTTGTGTAAATGTTTTAGCAGTGAAACTAAAGACTTCGGGACTCTATGAAAGAAAGTCCTCTCTCTGAATCTATTCATATACCTCTGACGCTCCATTGTAGCCCTGACCAATACCCACCTTCAAAGGGGCATTTCACCCAGCATTCTACGGACCTTCAAAATTAAACTGATACGATGAATTGTGGCCAAACTTTTGTGATGCGCTGCCACCGAAAAGGCAAGCTTGATCTAAAGTCATCTCGGTTATGTTACCGTGCTTCAAATAAATTTAGTTTAGCCCCTTTTCAGAATCTGCAGATTCAAGTACACCCACCTTCTAGCAAGCTTCTGTCATTCCCCAAAGTCAGAGTAGTCCAGGCTGCTTATTGACACTATATGCATTCCAAAGCCAGTCCCCTAACTGAAATACTGACGCACCGTTGCAGGTAGACTTCAGAAATGAGGGATTTCAGTAGGCAAGTGTGAATTCCACCAAGACTGGGTTGCTCACAGGGGGTACGGTGGCAGCGCGTTCGTGACACTATTTACCGAGCTCCACAAACAGAACATGACCAAAATGTTTCAGTTTAATGAGCCTGTCCTGACAGGATCACGTTTGGGATTAATATTTGCGTTCTTCTTTTAAACGGAGCAGTAAACAAGAACATGAATTCATAGTCGCACCCTCATTCTTTCCAAGGTGGAAAAGTGATAATGAAGTTTAAATGACCAGTTTGTGTCTGTCCCTATAACCACTCCAGACAAGCAGCATGGACTGCCTTTTTGTTGCAACTCAACAAGGAATTATTTGTGGCAGAGGCCACTAATTTCAGCATATTAATCAGGGGGCCCCTCTCGCCTGTAATTGGATGCCCCCAAGTGAAGAGTGTGGCATCATTGTCAGCCTCCATCGCCTCATCTTGCGCTATTGAGCGCTCAGGAACAAGGGGGCTTCGGTGAGATGAATTAGACCTGACACAGCCACAATGGGGTAGGGGGCCCCATCAATTGAAGCACACATCCCCAGTAGCCTATCTGAGACTTCATCCAAAAAGAATAAACAACTTCAGCGTTGTTAAAAAGAGAGAGAGAGAGAGAGAGAGGAGGGGGAGGAGAGAGAAGAATGCCAGCCACCCTGAAGGGAGGACAAAGCAGGCATATAGGCGCTGCAGCGCTTTAAAAAAAATTCCTAACAAGGCGAGTCACCCCTTTTCCTTTTTAAATGGAGCAGCAATTCCATCCGTCTGGAGAGCTGGGGGCTATGAATGAAAATCTTTTCATTGAGGCAAATCAAAACTGCGAACATAAATCACTTGCTGCAAGATGCAACAGGTTCCAACTGGTCACATACCTTGAGACTTCCAATTTTATAAAGGCCAGAGAATAGGAGAATTGTAACACGCTTGTTTCAAAGGGGGATCTTTCTTTCTCCATCCGAGAGGAGGAAAGCAACAACAATAATAATAGCAATAATAATAATATAAAAGGAGCCTGGTATGTTTTGATAACCAGAGGAACATAATGAAATGCTGAAGCTCCAATATTTGTTGCTATTCATTGTTATGCTTGTATAGAGCTGCAGTTCTCCCTCAACACTGGTCTTAACTTGGGCCAAAAGAGGCCTGCTTCCTTTTGAGCTCTCCCTGCCTTGCTCGGCCATGCCAAAGCCCCATTCATTAAGCTCAATTATGTGTTAACTTCAAACAACCCCTGGTAATTTTTTTTTTTTTTTCTTTTTCTCCTGAACCTACCACAGCACAAAGACGTCCTTTGGTGAAAATGGATTTTTCGAAACTAAACCAAATCAAACAAATCCACTTCTACTAGCCAGGCAACTGAAGAGGGAGCTTAGAAGGAATTCCCCTCAACTTCACCTTGCAGCGTAACCTTCTCTTTCTGGAGCAAACTCATACGCACTCATCTACAAACACTTCTACAGCCTTCACCTTGTTAAGCCAACTGGCGGAGGTTTTACTTTCTAAGCAAGGCCTATTTTGCCGTCTCTTCTTAGGAGACCCTCCTTCACGGTAGAGGACACAGGCTGTACTTCAAGCAAAGGATATACTGCACTTGCCCCCGTGGCCACTTAAGCGAGTGTCAGTATTTCCAGTGGACTTTGGATTGGGCCCCACAGCATCCAGGCAGCACAACGCATTTGCAGTCCATCTAGGTTCATTTTGGCAAGGGGAAATACAACACAACCGGGCAACAGCAAAGCAAAGTCCAGATGCTACTTAAGCCACATGTGATCTTCACTAGCCAACAAAGGAGTCATGAGGAAAGCAAGAGGTAGAGAAAATCCTGACATCCAAAAATAACAATAAAAATACAGAGCCTAGTGGCAGCCTTCCTGAGCGCTCTTTCCCCAGGCAATATTCCCAGCTTCAATAGGGAGCTGTAGAGGGCCCCAATTCTGGTGAGCTCAGCACTGTTTTTTTTAAAAGCTAAGTAAAACTCCCAGAACATGGTTCTCATTTACTGATCCATTCTCCAGCTGTGGTGTGTAGCAGTGTTAAATAAAGGCTCTGGATGTGCTTCCTAAAAGAAACATAACAACACCGACAGTAGATCAAAGTACTGGACTCTTAGCAAGTCTCCAACCTTTGAACTACTCTTGTTTTCATCCCTGTCATTGCCAACACAACAACCTAGGTTAAACATCCCCATATCCAAAGGGGAGGCCGGGTAGCTGTTCTTTTTAGCTAGCAGCCGAGGAAGCTTCCAACTTAGCAACTCTCGCCTTCGAAGTCACAGCAGCCTTATCTGGTAGAATGTGGCATGAAGAGTTATGTCTGATTTTCCCAAAATGTTGCTGCAGGTAGTTTGAAGGCTGGCTGAAGGTTGTAGCGCTCTGAACACCGAGCATTATTCCAGGCAATCTAACTTACGAACTGCCCGTTATGCTGATGTTAGGCCCGAGATGAAGCGTGATGCCAGTGTTTATAAATTTCTCTTTCATGGCTCAGTCGTTCCATCTTTAGGCCTCGCAGTAGGGCCGATTCTGTGAAATAAAATTTTTCTTCCGAGCGCCTGCAATCTTTCTTCAATCTTTTTATACCAAATCCATCTCTGGAAAATAAACTACACAACATTAATTTGTGCCACTGGCCACACACATCCCAGCGAGGTTTTCGAGTGTGGATACCTCTTTCTCAAGTCCACATGCAGGCCTGACCTCTTTTTTTAGCACAACTGCTACCGAATATTACCGTTTACTAAAGTGCTGTATCTCCTTTACACTAAGTTTTTATCAGTGTCAACAGAGCATCTGGCATTCCTCTTTACGTGCTACTGCAAAAGCACATTTGCTTTGGCCGCTTTTTCTTCCTTCTTCTTTTGCCATTCCTGGATTGGTCTCGCCATGCTAAAAGAAAACGCGCTGAACACGTTTTGTTTAAACAGAGTATCTTCCCTCTAGAATTTCTTTTGTCCCTGCTCCTCCACTCTGTCCTGTGGGAACAGCGAGATGTGGAGAACAGACA